ATATATCTTACCTGGAATACAATGATCAATTCTGCATATTTCTCTACAAAGTGATCTAACAGGAACAATTAGACACAGGTGACAGAAGAAAAAATAACTAAAAGAGGAACTTGCGCAAGAGGGATACAAACCACTGAAAAGTATAGAAAAGTCATGACCAAGCCTTTTTAGAAAGGTGTAAGAGCAAAAGACTAACTTGAAAGACAGCAAATGGAAGAATAAATATTTTATGGAACACATAATTGACCTGTATAACTCACAGCACTAAGATCAATTTAAGAAGATTTAAGCATTTTAAATTATTTTTTAAAATAAGCACTTTTGTAGACTATGATGACATTCAAAATTACATCGGAACAGATAAAGACATTTTGTATATTTATGTAAACTTATAATAGTAGAAGTCCTCCAAGTCATAAGAGAGTAAATGACTTTCAAGGAAAAAATCCCCTTATGTGAACAGAACTGAAACCCTACTGTTTGTATCTTGTGGGGTTTTGCTCTTTGTGTGATCAATCAAATATGGTCTGTCTCAAGACACTGAGCTAGATGGAGCATTGATCTTATTTAATTTGGCAAATCCTGCTGGTCTTGCCCATGTGTTTTTTTCCTGTGAGCTTTTTTGAAGGAATGGTACCTCTAAACTATGAATAGACAATAGAAGGGATTATATGTGAGTAATATCCTTTTATCTCTGGTGTTACTTTGCTTTTGAGTTTGGGCAGGTTATCTGAGGGTTTGGTTTTTCAAAGGTCAGTGCTTTTAAATGGGTGATTATTATCTGATATTTGCATTATACATATGAAAATACAGCATTCAGTAAATCTTGTCTGTCTTCATAATCAGTAATACACGTGTTCAGATATGCTACATGGGCAATTGAATTCTAGTCACCAGTAGCAAGTCTCCTTGATAGAATAAAGAAATGTCTTCATAAGTAGTCCCCTTTTTGTGAGCATCCTTTTCTCATAACAAAAAGAATATCTTAGGATTGCAGTTGTAATGCTTCTGAACATGGTAGTTTCCACTGAAAAAGGCAAATCAGCATACATTTTATTATCTATTATTTATCTAGAACTAGCATGTCCTAGGTACTTTACAGAGGGATTACAGAAGGGAATTTCCTTGAAGAGGTTACAGTACAAAGAAGCTACAAACAGGTGCAGGAGCAGAGATGGGAGGCAATAGAGTGCAAGTGTCTGAAAGCTGACATGGAGTATCTCCTGCCTCGGATCTGTAATTTCCTCTCTTTTAATGTATGGCTGTGTTGGGGGTTTTTTTAATTACTTTTGTACAGTGATGACTAAGATTATAGTCATTGTTAGGAAAAGTCACATAAAAGCAGTTTCATACTGGGAAAAAGTATGGATCTTTTTCCTCCCCGCTTGCCATAGCCTCATAAATTGTGACTGGTTTAGTTCAAGTTTTTCAATATAATCATTCCTAAGCAGTGACTCTGTGTCCCGAGTAGCAAGCAAACATTGATCACTCATCCATTGTTTTTAGAAGATGTCATCCTCTTACTGCTGCTGGTTTAGTGGAGCATGTATTTTCTCCTCCGTCTGAAACTCTCAATGCTCTTTAGTATTATAGTTCTTGTAATTGTTAGCAGCTGAGGAGCAGATACACAATCCCCTCAGCTATCCCTTAAGTGATGTGACAACCTCACCAGAACAGCAGAGCAGACCTTCGAAGGTAGCACCTGCTTCCGGCATCTCACCTAATTCTGTGAATTGGGAAAATTTCTGGAAGGGTTAATCAGGCAGGCTAGTCTGAGCGCCCAGTTTAATATAACCTTGTTGCAAACTTTCCTGTAGTACAGTCTTTCTCATTCTACACTTTCCTCTAAGTCTGGGTGCATGCTGTGTAGCACCTGGAAGTATAATGTCTGTCCTTCAGAAGGAATTATGAGAGAAGTATTGGAGAGGTACCAGAACCCCTCCTCACCAAGAAGTGAGCTGATTTGCTGCCTGGGTCAGTGCAGGGGCTGGAATTAAATCACCATCAACCAGCTCTGTGCATAATGAACCTACAGATGTGTCAGATTTTTTTGTATGCATGATACAGTTGTTTGGGTTCAAATTAACGAAAGCTTGGATTAATTGTATAGTGCAAACATATATCAAATTTAGGAACCTGGAGCTTGCAAGGGACTTTCTAGGTCTGCATGTTCAATTTCTGCTTGTCATGTATGGCCTCTGGATATTGCACCATCCATAAAGTTACCAAGCTTCATCAGGCTCCATTTTAAACATAGCTGAGTTCTCTCCCTGGTACTGAAAGTGGATGGCTGCTCCAAAACTCTTCTCTGAAGCTTAAAAACCTTTTTCTAATTTCTAGACTAAATTTATTCATGCTACATCAAAGCTATTTGTTTGTGTGGCAATATTATTCTTCATCTAAAGCATTTCTTTTTCCCTTGGTAGTACTTGCATGCTGATGCATTAACAGGGAGATAGTATATCACTTTTCAGCCTCCATTCAGCTGTGCTGAGGAAGCCAACCACTTTTATCTTCCTCTCATAAAATAGTCTCTATTCCCCTGATGGTTTCAGTAACCTTTCTCTGCTCTTCTTCCAGTGTGAATTCATTCTTTAAGCGTGGATATACAGAATGACGAAGATTAGTCCAGATGAGGTCTGATCTGTGTCTTACTCGAATAACACACCTCTAGTTCTGCTTTACTGAAGACACCTTGATGTGATGGAGCATTGCAGTTGTCTTTTTTTGTGTTTGCGTCACATGGGGTCAGTTTTAGATCCCCTAGGATCTACTCAAAACACACATCTTTATTCTCTTCCAAACTTGGAGTTGATTGCCTCTAACAAAATGCTTTTAGGAAAACTAAGCAATGGGGGCTGGTCCTCATATGAATGTGAGATAAGGAAAGATAGAAAACAGAGTAGGAGAAAATGGTTAGTTCTTGAAGTAGGGGGATGTCACAAGGATTGTTCCTTGGAGGCCTGTGTTGGGGCTTATGCTGTTCAACGTATTCGTAAATGACCTGGAAGAGGGACGTAACAAAGTTTCTATGCTAAAGACACAAAATTATTTGAGGCAGTAAGGATCATGGAAGAGCTGCAGGGCAACTGGGCAATAAAATGGCACTTGAAAATGAGTGCGGATAAAATGTTAAGTCACAGTTTCACATATGAAGTGATGGGATCTGCACTGATGGATCCCCAGATACTTCTGAGGAGCAAGATCCTGGGGTTTGGATAGACAGCCCCAAGAAAATATCAGCTCAGTGGTAGTCAGAAATGCCAGTCAAATGTCCAGCATTATTAGGGACAGAGTAGAATACAAGGTGAGAAACCTTCTCTGCAACTTCAGAAATATGATTCAGCTGTGTCTGGCGTGCTCTGAGCCATTCCGGTTCTCTTATCTCAAAGCGGGTAAAGCAAACAGAAGGTGAGCAAGAAAAAAAAGCCATTAATTAATACGATTTTCTGGGGCTTGAAAGACTGAGCTTGGGTGAATTATTCATAATGTCATTAAAATTCAAATACAACTGAAGTTTCCTGTCGGGTTAGCTAACACTGAGAAACCACACCTCATGCGTTTCTTCTCTGAAACTTTGTACGTTGTAATGATAAGACGTTTTGCCTGTCTTTAATTTTCTGGAAGTGTCTCTGCATCTTAAATAAAAAGAACATTTCCTGTTCTTACTCTGCTGGAAAACTTAAAAGAGCAATGCTTCTACTATTAAATTCATTAATGTAGAGGGGAAATCTCTCATGTTCACGTAAAACCTGAAGGGGCTTGCAGAGCACCTGGTTTCGCAGGGGGGCAGGCAGGGGGTTCCCAGGAGCCCTCAGGGAATGTCTGCCCGGTCCAGTCCTGCACTGGGTAGACAGGGTGAGTGCAGAGTGAGCCCAGTTCAGAGATCAGAAGCAGCTTAACCTGGTACGCACTGGGGTCTGCCTGGGTTCCTCGAGATAGCTAGTTGCTCTGGAAAATGCCTCATTGTACAGCACTAACGTGACCTGAATGAGCTGGCAGATCTGGGGCTGCAGAATTACTAGGGCCTGTCTGCACTTGCTTGGTTTGATATCAGTGTAAAGACTGCCCAAACTAGATTTCAAGAGATTTCCTCTTCCTTGCTGCAATGAAAAGAAAATACTAATTTTTTGGTTGGCAAGCAGAAGAAAGCATTCCTGGTTTATGCTGGATTTACTGTTCTTTTCTGTGCCTGTGATTTGCATTGAGAACCAGGCTGTCTGGCATAGTGTGCTTTGGCAGCATAGCTGCTTGCGCTGGGTACAAGTGTAATTGCACATGTTTGTGGAATTGAGATTGCTGGCCACGATCAGCCTGTACACCAGTGGATACATTCCTGCACTCTGAACAGATAACTATTGATACTTTGGGTGTATAAATGACTAGGCAAAAATACAGCCACAGTGGTTAGATCCCAGGAGTCTTGCTGTGAAAATGTTTGTTCTGCTTTTGGATCTCTTTGGATTATCATCTGAACGCCTTGAGGAAGCATGGAAGTATATAGTGTGGAATGCTGATTATAATACTTACATGTAATTTAAATGATTTTCACAAAAGGTCTTGGAGTGTTTTACTACAAAGTAGATGTAGGAACATTTTTCTGAAGTATAGACTATTCCACTTGACAAGGTAGGTAAAAGAAGTTATATCACTTTGTAAAACTAAACAGAAAGGTCAGCAGGAAAACCCAGAATAAAACAGAAATTTCCTGGCATAGTTTCCCACTCCTGACTAGGCATTACTTCCTTCCCCAAAATAAGCATTTATACAATTACATTCACAATTTTGAAATATAATTCTTTTTTTTCTTACTTGCTTATTGCTAGTACTTAAGCTTTGTTTGCCTGCTTAATACTTTGAACAGCATTTGTCAAAAATAGCAGAATTCAGAATTAGCAATAGTGAAGCATTTTTTGTTCCTCACACAACGTAGCCAATGTCAAATTGGTACCTGAGCTCCCAGCTTTAGCTTAACCTATGCCTTCTCTGCTTTTTTCCAGGCTATGGACACACAGTGCCTTTATCTGATGGAGGAAAGGCCTTCTGCATCATCTACTCAGTCATCGGGATCCCGTTCACACTGCTTTTCCTGACAGCAGTGGTACAGCGCATCATTGTATATGTCACCAGGCGGCCTGTACTGTATTTCCACATTCGCTGGGGCTTCTCCAAGCAGGTTGTTGCAATCATCCACGCTATAGTCCTTGGGTTCATCACTGTCTCGTGCTTCTTCTTAATCCCAGCAGCAATATTTTCTGTTCTGGAAGATGACTGGAATTTTTTGGAATCTTTTTACTTCTGTTTCATTTCTCTGAGCACCATTGGCCTTGGAGACTATGTGCCAGGAGAAGGCTACAATCAAAAATTCCGAGAGCTGTATAAAATCGGAATTACATGTAAGTGTCAAACTAACTAGCTAAATAAAAGGCATTGTATTAAAAAAAAAAAAAAAATCAGACTTTCCCTCCCCGTTCTGTGGATGGTGATTGTTTTGTGAGCTGTCAGCTAGCAAACTGGGCATTGTAGGTAGCTGTGCAAAGAGGAAACCTTTAAATAAGGTCAGTTTCCTTAGTTATGAAGGAAAACGCTAAAATCAGAATTCCATTGTGCTAAACCATAGCTGCTTACTCTCTTTATTAATAGTAGAAAAAAATGCTCACGTTACTGTTACAAAAATGTTTATGGGCATCTTGGGCTAAGATTTCAGTGCTCACAGGAAGAGCCAGGAAGATGATCCTTTTAACCTAAGGCCATCTTGTAAGGTGAGATGACAGGAGGACAGAGACAAATCGAGGAAATGAGGCAGAATAGCAAAGTTTCTGACTCCAGTTGTAAGATAAGATAGCTGAAGCTGGCACTGGTACATACCAGCTGTCAAAGAGAGACAAGCAGACTGAGGTAACCGCAAAGCAAGACCATGAATGTTAAATTCAAATTGTTAAATTATGTTTGACACAGAAGAGAGGCACAGTGATCAGTGATTTGATCAAAATAGAGCTAAGAAAATTATCTTTGTGTTGGCATTCTGAATGAACATATGCTGAGGGCAATATTCTCCAGTGACAGTGTTTTGAAGCATCCCAGTTTCTGATACAGCTTCAGTCTGCACAGTCCTGGGTCATCAGACACCACCAGCTAAAAGATCTGAATGGCCAAACCAAACCTTTCCTGTCAGGTCCTTTTCTTAGCTAGTATGCATTTGTCTGTGCTCCTGTGCATGATCCAGCAATCTTAATGTAGGCAAAGTGTCCATAAATTTGGTTTTGTGTTTTACCTAAAAAAAGATTGGGCCTTGAATTTTCATTCCTTGAAGCAGGGTCTTGAACTAGCCAACAGAACACTTTATTTTGTCCTCCTGCCAGGCCTGTTCTCATTGCAGGAGATTTCCCCCTCTGCCCATTGTGTTTCTCTTTAGCAGCAGTAGCTTTTAATGATTACCCTGCTGATCTGCAGAGTTGATTTGGGGATGCTAAATGATGAAGTGAATGGAGAAAGTCATGCATAGTAAAGACCTTGTAAAAAAATTCTAGCCATTCTGAAAACTTAAAATCAGAAGAAAACATTATGGCTCAGATTATTCTTCTTCAAACTTTAGAAAACCTAGGAAATAGATTGCAGGAAATACTAAAAGGAAAAAGTAGCTTTTAGGCAAAGCTATGACCTTAGAATATTTAATTTCAACAGTTTTTAAGGTCATAACTTTTAAATTATTCTCTTTCCTTTCATGTGAACAATTCAAGGAACCAAACAACGTATAAAATGTTTTCTCTTGCTGAACCTAAATTTTCTTCAAGAAAAGTTTTGGAGTTCTACATCAGAAAATGCTTAATGAGTGCTACAGGCTTTTCAAGAATTTTTAGGAGAACACAAGTCCTGTTCTAAATCAAGTGGTGATCAGCTGGACTGAATTTCAGAGATAATTACAAAATTCTCGGTGCAGATTTATAGATGGCTTTTAATTGTCGTAGCTTTGTCACTTCTTCCTTGTGTTAATGCATAGCTCCCATTTGATGTCATGAGATTAAGCTTAAAAACAATTCATAAATTTTAGCTGTAGTGCTGATTTAGATAAGTACCTGGTATTGCAATATTGATTTAATTGTGCTCCTGGAAGGAAAAGGAGAGTGTTATTGCCAGTGAATAATCAGTAACTACAGGTGAAATATTTATGCCTTTAGGTAACAGAACAGTGACCATATGTAGATTATAATAATTAATCTGTGTTGATCTTTCAGCACATTTAATGTTCAGCCTTTGGATGAGCATGTTGTACTAATAATTATACACTTAGCTTCTGCTTGATTTACTCATTGAAATGATAAAATATTCAAGTAGTCATTCTCCTCATTAAATTGTAATGATGAGTAGCAGGGATCTAATGGAACACTGAGATTAAGAAATGCTCATTTTAACACCTTCCCTCAAATTCTAGATGCATATTTTTGGAGAAGAAAAAGAAAAAAGAGCACAGTGGCCCGTTAACCATGTGAAGCTCCATTTCCAGAAGTCTCAGGCTATGAGAGCTGACTATTACCTTTAAAAATCAGAGTCAGTACACCACCAAAGTCATCAGTAATGCTATTTAAGTGACACTTCCAAGTTTGGATAGTTTATGTATGTTAGTAAAACATTGCAAATAGTCTTCAAGGTGTCATGAGATATAGCAACTTTGTCAGGTTTGTAAAGTATCAGCAGTAATTTTACAGTAATTAAAGCCACTAGTGTTACTTTTTTTCATTGTATGGGGTCTTGTTGATTGTAGAATGAAAAAGGAAAAAAATGATTTGACAGTCTAAAGTGAGTTACAGAGCTCTGAAACTGGGTCATAAAGAAAATTAACATAGTATTCAGATGTGATGGGGGTGGGAAAAGTTACAGGGTTAAAACTCTTCCAGCCCTACTTAATATGCTAATAATTAAAATACTTTTTTTTTCTTTTTTTTTTTTTGTACCCAGGTTATCTGTTGCTGGGCCTTATTGCAATGTTGGTAGTTCTCGAGACTTTCTGTGAACTCCATGAGCTCAAAAAGTTTAGGAAGTTGTTTTATGTGAAGAAGGACAAGGAAGAGGACCAAGTGCATATAATGGAACACGACCAGCTCTCCTTCTCTTCCATCTCAGACCAAGCAGCCTCCATGAAGGACGATCAGAAGGCCAATGAGCCTTTTGTGACTTCCCAGTCCCCAACTTCCAATGACAGCTCTCTAAACAATTAATACAGGGGTACCCATGCCATTGTTTTGGTGCATTTATGCTACTTACCATAAGAAATAGAACGCCTCATATTCTTTTTCTGAAAATAAAAAAGCTGGAAGACTGTGCTGCTTTAACAAGGATTCATCACTTCTGACACAGAAAAGACTTCTGGGGAAAAATGGGGGAAAAATGTTTTTCCCTGTTCCTTGGGAATAGGGAAAAAATGTACGATGTGGCTGGGAACATTAGGCCATTTTGCTTGAGGGATAAGGAGTTAGGTGTACTGCTTTCAGAGGTGCCAGAGAGAAAGGCTTGCACAAGCAACTTCATCCAACATCTTTAGGAGAGTAGGCCTTCACTGACATCCAACTCATCTAGTGGCACACCCCATCTTACAACTGGGTGACATAGCAAATTCTGGGATGTGCACTTTTGTCAGCAGTGTAGTCACAGATTTAATCTAAACACACCAAATATCTTAATCTGGAAAACATTTCCAGAGCAATATCTATAGATCTGCTGGAGAGGGGAGTATCTAGATTGTCCCTCTATTACCCAGTAACTTGCAGGTGCAAATAATAATTCTAGGAATGAAGAAACAAGGCTATGGTCCTTCCTTTGCCCATGCCATTTACATTCAAATTTCCTACTTCCTTAAAAGGTCCCCTAATCACAAGAAAAATGTTGTCCTGAAGAGAGTGTGCCTTGAGTCTTCCACGCTGTTTGTCTTTGTGTGAAATACTTTTGTAAACTCTGAGAGATAGCAAGACTAATTCAAAGTGCTGAGCAAGATGGGGTTGTAGGGAAGGGAGATGGCTGCATTTCAGTCCTCAGCCCTCTGAAATGGGCAGGAGTGGGTTTTTAGCTATGGGGAATGGAATAGAGTCAGCGAATGCCACAGCTGGCATTGTGATGTGCTTATGGCTTTCTCCTAGTAGATGGTTGAAATCTGTTCAGCAGCAGAAGGACTCAGCGCTATTTCTTCCACAGTGCAGCCCACTGTGTGCTCTCTGCAGAGCTGATAGGTGAGCAAAGGAACAGAAACAGTGAATTTGAACGTAGCCCCTTTGTCTTTTGCTTTTCTAACTAGTACTCAGAGCACTTTGGAGGAGAAGGGAATGTTTCAGGGCAAAACAATTTTTCAGTTTTTCATATGGCAAGAAAAAAGGAAAAATGTCACATTTGGTTCGGATGGAACCGAAATTTTTTCCCCTTGGGAAAAGTCACTAAAAAGTCAAGATCTCGCTCAACTTCTGAAGCTGGAACCTCTTTGGCTGTAACAGGAGAGGTGTTTTAGTCCAGCTACCAGACACTGTGCTGAATGCAGGGATCTCGGAAGTGAATTTCAGTGAGCAGGAGATGAGACTTCAGTGGTTGTAGTACTTTCTCTTCTGGCCTTAAGAATCTATGATATGGGAATCTTGATAATGCTTTGCAATGAACAAAAGATCTGGAGCACAAATAGCCATATTAGGACAGCCTCCTACATAGGAATAGTGTAGAGGAGAGCTTTTTCTCTGCAGTGCAAGCATGCCAGATTGCCTGTAATTTGGCTTTTAGTGTTTAGAGCTGAATAGTATTTTACTGTAAAAGAAAAAAATGCAGTGTGTCTAGATTTAGCGCACGTGGGAAAAATACTTGAAAGTAAATAACCCAAAATATACTGTGTTTGAGCTTAATTATAGCTAGCATCAAACAGATTTTATATCTTTACTGGAAAAACTTACTTTATGGTTAAATCAGCTGAAAGTCTTCAATTAAAATTTATATTTATAGAAAACCAGAGCTAAAGGCTTTGGTTGTTTTGGGTTTTATAGATTAGATGAGAGCATACTGTGTTTGCATGTTCCCAGGAAAGTGGCTATTTTTATACTGCTTAAGTTAACACAGTTCTATTTATAATGAATGTTAACCAATATATATGTACATATATACATAAATATATTTATATACTGTACATATATCATAAGTCACCAGAGTTTAACAGACTTAGGAATGGCATTTTAGATTTTTTTTTTTCCCTGGGCTTCTCTTTATACAGTCAATAATTGAAAACTATGGCATTAAAATGATACTGACATAAAATTAAGAGTACTGTACTACAAGAAACATTTATACAGTTTTTTTCAGTGGAATTTTATTGATTGTTTTCAGTACCTTAAAACTCAAGATTAGTTTTAATTTCATGTAACATTAAGCTCTAAAGGATATGCACAGATGCTAAACGATATACAAAGTTAATTTTGCAGCGTGTACACAGTTGCAAAATGTAGACACATGAAATGAAAGCACAGAATTCAAAGCAGAAGCGAAAAACTAAGCAGTATACTGTGATGTAGGTGAGTATTTGTTATTTTAAACTTAAATAAAATTCTGGCTTTTGCCTGCCTGCACTGTGAAGTGGGGAGTATTTTCTTTAGTGGTGTGTGTATGTGCACATACTGTGCAAAAATCCTGTCTGCGTTTGTCAAGATTATGCATCCTTTAGTTAGCCTTCCTCAACTCCAGGAAGGGACCACTAATGCCAGAGTGTGTTACCTAACCTTGATATTAATTGTAGCTTAGCATTGTGTTGATTATTCCTATGAAAAAAAGCATTCCAAAGTGTGTTTGGTTTTGTTTCAGATGCTGACTGATTTTAGCAAATAAAAAATAGTGGCATAACATTTATCTTGTCTTTATAACCTAACTACTCCAATATTTGAGGAAATCTGAAAAACTGTCATTGCAGGTTATCAGTACCACTGATGAAAATAATGGCCTTCATTTTCTACAGCTTTTACATCTTCATGTGAAGCCAACACACAAGATCAGAGTAGTTAAAACTGGAATCCAGGTTAGAAGGAGAAAGATTATCGTGCAAGAACCTTAGTATAAAGCGCATATCTTTCCTAGGGGCAAACTGTGAAGCAGGTGCATGTAAACCCAAATGGAGAGCACGGGTCATAAAACAACGGCGCTGAAACTAAATGCGAGCAAATTACTTACACAGAGAAGAGAATTGTCTGGGTCCTGTCCTCACTCTCTTGTCTTCAACTGATCCAGGCATATATCCCATTAATAGCTTTATTCCCACGCTACAGCTGACATTTGCCATCTTCTCTTTGTCTTTCAGTCATTAAATATAAATAAATGTGGTTTATTATTACTTCAAGGGAAAGGACTGGCAGGCCATTAATTTGTGTTGGGGGAAAGAAAATGGAAGAACTCACTTGAGTTTCGATCTTGGAGCTGAGTGACAGCCATATTTGTCCCTTTGAGAACATGTCCTCTTCCCTAAGAGTTTCTTCCCAAAGTTCACAAATGGCACCTACTGTGGGTGAACGCAAGACTTGCTGAAGGCTGAAATGAGTAATTTTCTAAGAAGGTAACTTCAGAGACTTGAGTGGTTTGCAGCTTTAATGCCAGCGCTACGAAAGTTACCTAGTCAGGTATTTATGTCAGAGTAATTGCATAAGAGCAGCAGTTCTGGATTACATGAAATGTTTGTCTAGCCCATTATTTTGTCTCTGACAATGGCCAAGAGCAGACGTGTGAACATGTGTAAGGAGAGGGCAAGCGTGTAGCAACAGTTCCCCAGAATATTCTAGCTCCCAGCAGTGTGCAGCTCTGCATCTATGATAGTATCTACCTAGGAGGTGTGGAAAGTCAGTGAAGGCAGGATGTGTACAAGACGTGCTACACTGACGTACATGCTCTCTGTTTTGGTCAGTAAGAGACTGTCCCGCGCAGGATCAAATGAAGATTACCTATTACTTTCCCACAAAGCAGTTTCAAGTTAAGTGCTTTGCAGTAACCAGGTGGGGTAGCACTAACACCGGTGACTGCATGGGATGGTCTCTTGAAAAGAGGAAGAAAGGCAGGGGAAGGCCTTTTACACACTCTTACTTGGACATTGCTGTCCTGTGGGTAGATAGGATCATACACAGAACCTGTTTGCTGATGCTAAATCTTGTAACTCCACATTAACATTTGCTTTGTAAATAGTAGTCAGAAATGTACTGAGATGAACCATAAGTTGCTAAAAACATTACTGCCCTATTGGTATTCCATTATTATTCATTCTTCTGGATTCTGCTTTCTACTGAAGCAAAATAAAGTTACTATAACTGGAAGCAGTGTTATTCCAGATGTGCACCAATACAAAAGAATGGGGTTTCTCTGCTCTGCACTAGTAACTGTTGTTATTGTAGTGTGTATCAAGAAGCTCCTAGATACACACTTTATTTTTGCTATCTTCATGTTGCTTGTTTCAAACGGAAACAGTAATTTTTGAAATCATGGTGACTAGCTCTGCAAATTCACATGCTTGCTAATTCATATTAGGTACTTGGTGTGTGTCATTTTTAATGCCTACAGTGTTAGTCTCATCACTTCTTATTTTACCATTCTACCTGCTTTTTATAACGGATTTCTTGTCCCAATCATCTTCAAAGGTCATCATGTTGCCACTGATCGTGAGCGTTGTGATGCATTTTGCCGGTGACGATGCGGGTTTGTCAGAGCTGTTGCCTCAGCTGACAAGGAGACTACCTCACGTGTGGCAGTTGGGGCCAAATGATAGATTTTTGGTAATGAGGAAGGACAGCGTGGCTGGGAGCAGGTGCACGGGCTGACAGCCAATGTCAGGACAAAATCATCCTGGCAGACTGCTACATGACCACATAGCTTTCACCAGGCTTCATTGCCTGTCACTAGGAGTAAGAGGAAAACACTTCCAGAGAAAGGAGGGAGGAAGGACATTGCCAAAAGTCCTCTGAAACAAGTTCAGTGGCATTAGCTTTTTCGCAATTTGTCTATAGTCTGCGGCTCTCCGTTACTTCAGTTGCACCATGTATACTATGAATCAGGAAAATGGTTTGGCATTTCCCCAGTGTAGATGATCCCTGTGGTCCCTGAAGCAAGTTAATGCTTGTTACCGTAACAAGTTTTTCTGTATTAAGTTCACTGAGTGTTCAGACCCATGAGCAGGAGTGTAACTCAGTGTCACTGCCGAAACTTTCCAGGGGAAAATGTGGCTCAGGGCACTGCCTGGCCCTGGGGCTGCCTGTCTTTTTAGAGTCCAGGCTGTCCAGAAAGAGAAAAGCAAACCCTCTGCCTTAAAAAATGAGAAACCCGCTCTCCTGGGAGGCTCAAAGCTCCTCAAACCCGTGTTGTGCTAATCACAGAGGTCTTGTAGTCTTGAGCATGTAGTATATATATGCAAGTATCTGGAGTAGCACATAGATCTGTGACTCAGTTTCTCTATGCCTAAGTTTTTGAGACTGGTCAACCAACTCAACTTTCTGAATTTCTATTTCTCTTCACCATTTAAGAATGTGAATCTCAATATTCACTGGCCATCCCTGAGCGCTCACCGGTACCTAGCTGAGCTAGTTCAGCAGGCAGCGAGGTGAGATTGAGAGAACAGAAGGGACTTTTATACCCTCTGCCCTAAGGAGGGGACAGGTAGTCACTGGGAAGCCCCATCCCTGCCCGTGAGTATACATTAACTTCAGCTGCAGCCACCACGAAGCGTAGCAGTTCATTTCTAAAACTAGTTCTAACGTCTGGCATATGACTGTATGATTCACCCAGCTGCGCTCTGTACGTCG